GTTGTTGTTGTTGCTCTTCATCTCTTGAAGCATCTTCATCTTGCGACCGTTATCTCTTTGGGCTTATCTCAAGAATGACGCAATCGTGCGTGGAACTCCACGTTTTTAACTTTTTCTGTTTCAGAGAAAACAAAACTTTGCTGATACAGAGGCGCCAGCTGGTGGCCAAAAACAGAAGTTCTCTCAGCTTTAAAAACATCAGACACTGCTTTGTTTTGGCCAACAATGAAAAAATCTGAAAATCTTTTCTACTTTAGAACTCGACAACAAAATGAAACAACAACAAAAGAAATCCCTAAAAAAGGCACTGTTGCTTCTTCCCTAGCTTCGCGTGGGCCGGTATCGGGTGGCCGGAAAGGGTGAAGACCCANGGTGGTCAAAAACTGAAGCTCTCTCAGCTTTAAAAAGATCAGACTGCTTTGTTTTGGCCAACAATGAAAAAATCTGAAAATCTTTTCTACTTTAGAACTCGACAACAAAATGAAACAACAACAAAAGAAATCCCTAAAAAAGGCACTGTTGCTTCTTCCCTAGCTTCGCGTGGGCCGGTATCGGGTGGCCGGAAAGGGTGAAGACCCACTGGTCGACGGGGAAGCGGAAGTTCTTCTTCTCATCACCAGCATCGTCATNCCTAAAAAAGGCACTGTTGCTTCTTCCCTAGCTTCGCGTGGGCCGGTATCGGGTGGCCGGAAAGGGTGAAGACCCACTGGTCGACGGGGAAGCGGAAGTTCTTCTCATCACCAGCAGCATCATCGGCGAAAATCAGGTACAGGTACTTGAGCGTGGCGCCGAGGAAGGCGGGCGGCATGACGTCCAGGTGCTCCGGCGGTTCACCACCACTTTGCTCGTCAATGTTGACAGACTTTACACTGGAATAGCCAACACCTTTTTCATCACCACCATCTTCAGTGCCCACCACCTTGCAGAACTTCTCAATGGCCACCACCAGCTCCCAGGCCATCCGCCGGTAGGCCTCATCTCCGGTGACGCGATGCAGCAGATAGTAGGTCTGCGCGAGGTAGGGCGTCAGGGCGTAGCCTCCGGTGCCGATGATCGAATTGCCTCCAGCACCACCATTGCCGCCGCCCTCATTTTCATTCTTCACCACCACAACTCCGGGCACATCAAAGTAGAACGTCTCCGGCGGAAGGCCGGTCGACGTTCCGCTGGCCGCCCGGTGACAGGTGTCCACCAGCGCCCGGCCCAGCCCTAGCAACGTCAGCGGCTCCGGCTTCGACTGGTAGCGATTGGCGGTGAAAAGCGTCGAGGCCAGAGCGAAGATGCCCCCGTAGGTGCAGTCCTCCAGGGCCATGTGCTTCGTGATGTCGGTGGCGATGTACGCCCGGTGCGGCGGGCGTGATCCGGTGCGGAGGCGCGGAACGCCCGAGTAGTCGCCGCCAAAGCTGCCGCCCTTTGAGGTCATCTTCGTGAGAGCCTTTCGAAAGTGGAGGAGGTTGCTCGAGTCGGGGACGTCGTCCTGGAGAAAGTAGATCACTGTGAAAAAAAAATAGAAAAAGGGGTTTAAAAAGAAGGTCAACACTTCTTTCTTTCTTCTTCTCCTCACTTACACTCCACCAACATCCGCCGGAAGCCCTCAAAGTCGTGCTCCTCCTTCTCGTAGCTCTTGTAGCGCTCATAGTCGGCTTCGACGGCGGAAAAGTACCTCTCCTCCTCGCCCGTCACCTGCGCCAGGTACATCAACTCCGGCGCACTCCACAGCAGCTGGACGTTGTTTCCGGTCAGCCGGTCCAGCTGCCGGTACCGCGGCAGCCAGTAGTTGGCTATTTCCACTGCCCGCTCCAGAAAGAGCGCCTCTCCGGAGAGGGCGTGCGCCGAGAGGAGCGGCCCCAGGTCGGTGAGCCAGCTGCTGTTGATGTGGTGGCCGGCGAGCCAGTCCCGGGCGGCGGTGAACTGCTCCTTCAGGCCCATGATGTACAGCGTGGGAAGCGCCTGGAGGAGCGTTTCGCCGTTTCCGGGCAGGCTGGAGGAGCTTCCGCTCTTCTTCTGATTGCTGGAAGAGGGCAGGTCAAAGGCGTTCTGATTCTCGAAGCTCTCCGTCACTGGCAGCAGCAGGTCGTGGCCCCAGGCGTGATTTTGGTAGGCGGCAAAGGCGGATCGGGTCATGTTGCGGATGAAGGCCGCTCGCTGGGAGGCGGTTTGCAGGAGGTCAAGGACGTTTGAAGATGAGGATGTTTTATCTTCATTTTTGGCTGATAATGTTGAGCCTACGAAAAAAAGAAGAATCAAGAAGATGAAAGGTTGAAGCATTTTGAGGCACTGTTTTCAAGTGCTGTTTTTCTTCTCAGAAAGTGAAAGTTTTGCGAGATTTCGCGCACACATTTCTGAAAGCAACATTTTTTGCGCACTTTAGCTAAAGATCAAACAAAGATGCTTTTGCTTCGTCTTGAGCAAGGGGTGAAACCTGTTTGGCTGCTGCCACTGCTGTGAATCTCTGATTTCCTCCTCAAGGTAATTAAAAGAGAGAAGATGTTTAGATAGAGCAGGAAAGAAGAAGCGATGGTATTGACTTTATCTCTTACCGCTCTTTTATGGCACTTCTATTTACCTGCCTGTTGCTACCTGCGCTCTTTCACTCCTGCACATCTGACAGCTCAAGGTCAACAAAGAAGAGAGGATTTGAAAGACAACATTGTGTTTTTTTCTGCAGTCGAAATAACTTTTTCAAAAGATGGCGGCGCAAAGTTGAACTTTTTTGTGTGTCAGAGAAAAAATAAACTTGCAGCTGACTATTGTCACGATTGTTACGACGATTTCACCCTACTTTTGCAACACTCGACAGCTGCTGACAACTCGGCAGACAA